CGTCGGAGGTCGTCAGCGGTGAGCGCGGGGAGTGGACACTCCTGGATGCGGTCGACGATGCGTTGGAAAGAAGCATCCAGGCTGTGGTAGTCGACGGCGTGGGGGGCCCACAGGTCGGTCCAGGTCTGGATCTTCTTGTCAATGAGCTCCTTGGGGTGCATGATGGTGCAGCCGTCGGACAGTGTTACCTCTGCTGGTTGTGGTTGGGGCCGTAGGGAGCGATGAAGTGTTCCCAGGGCCCCTGGTGTGGTTGCCCACTCGCTGAATGCTCGGGCGGACTTGCGGATCGCCCGTTGTTGAGCTCGTTTGGCAAGGCGGTTGGCCCTGGCTGCGTGCGCAACGATGTGGTCGACGTCGGCGAGCTCGATCTGCTGCAGGAAGAGAATCCACTGTTCCCAAGTGCGGTCGTCTTTGGGTGTGACGACGCTGGCTGCAGCAGAAGGTGGCGTGTCAGCGAGGCGCCGTAGGTCCCGATACAGCTGCTGGAGCTGCAGAGGGCCGTTGTTGCGAGCTCGGTGTCTGTACGTATTCTGAAGTAGAGTGTGTACCCGTGTCCACCAGTTACTCGAGAAGTCGGCGAGAGGCGCACTCCTCTTGCACTGCAGCTCGCGAACAACAGTGACCTGGTAACTGGGTCCTGTGGCGCGACTGGCGCCAGCGAAAGGAATCTGGTGATGTGTATGGAAGGTGGCCTCGACTGTCGCGGCCCACGAGCCGTATGTCTGCCCAAGCTGAAGGGTCGAATCAGGCTTGAGCCGAAAAGCTACGGAAGCAGCAGCCGCAGGGGCAGGCAGCGTGCAGCTGGCTGGCAGGGCGCTGATTTGTTCCGGATGGACGCTCCAGAGCAAACTAGGGATTTCGAAATCCACAGCGGTAGAACTAAACTCCCCAGATCCAGGGCACGGGCCATTAAGACCTTGTTGGGGAAAGTTCGTGGCTTCGGGAAAACTGTCTGGCATGGCCTCCTCGGGTACGACAGGCGCGTCAGGGGGGTTCTCACGCTGGACTGGTGAAAAAGACTCTGACTGCTGGGCTGAATCAACTGATGGAGCAACGGAAGCAGGATCGCGAGCAGAGAGAGCAACAGGCGGCCTGTCCTGGGCAGCGGGCATGTCTCTCGGGGCGACACCACTAGAAAGATGAGGCAAATAAGCATCGGCTGTGCACTCTCCGTGGGACGAAAGCCGCGGATCGCAAAGATGAGCGGATGGGGCAGCGGAGAGGGGCGGTGCTGACGCGCCGAGCGAGCACTGTTTTGTCTCCTCGCGGGCGGGGTTCGAAACAGCAGACGACACGGCTGGCCAGAAACTCGTCTCGTGCGCCCACGGGTCTTCCTCTTCGGAAAGCTGGGCTGGATCGATCTCGTCGCCCTCGGATGTGGGGCTATCGCCAGCACTGGTGGACTCGGCGTCGGCGTCTCGGCCTTCGCTGGTCCGTAAATCGGCAAAGAGAGTGGCATGGAGAGACTGTTTTCTCTCAGTTGCCTTCTCCATGCGGGCTGCTCGCTGGGCTCTGGCACGGCTAGACTTAGACCCAGCAGTGGCAGCCTTGCGAGGGCGAGCGACGTGTGGCAGGCGCCTCGGGAGCTGAAGTATACGAGTGAGCAATTGCTCGCCAGACTGGATGAGCTGAAGACGTAATCCTATGTGGGGCTTCCACGGAACATCTAGCACAGGCGAGAGGCTGACCAGGTAAGGGCGGGCAGCAGCGCTGTGAACAAGAAAGTCCAAATGCGATGGCTTGCGTCCCCCTCCTGGGTCGCACGTGTGTTCGACAGGGGCGCACATGATCTCTCCTTGGACCTGTGCTAGGAACCCCGACTGGGTGAGCGCAGAAGGGCTTAGGTTCCAATCGGCAAGGACGAACCAAGGAAGCTGGAGAGAGCGAAGGAGGCTCCCTAACTTCCTAAAACGAGTTAAATTGGATCCTCTCATGCCGACACTGCTGAACCCGTAGAAAAGAACTGCTACAATGGAATAACCACGGAGATGGAGGACAATGGGCAGGAAGCCATCGAGGGAGGGGTGAGGGAAAGACTGAAGGTCCTTGGACTGGACCGCCTCGAGAAGAGGGTGGGCATGGAGATGCCCTCTAGGAAGAAACCACTCTCCACCTTCATTCGCGTGTGAAACTGCGGACATGGATTCAGCCTCGAGATGGGAATCAACTGTCCACCCTTCAGAATCAGAACGCGGTGTGGGTCGAGCAACGTTAGCGAAAAGCCTGCGATTGATGGACCTGAGCCTCCCCTGCCTGTGACACACTGGCTGCATTGGCGTGGGTCTCGACCAATCCGATGTAGTCATCACTGCTGGCCTGGATCCACTCGTGGACTTTTTCGCCGAAGCAAGTGACATTGCTGAAGAAGAAACTACTAGTACTGGTAGAAGAGATGGCATCACCTTCCCCCGTGATGCTGGGGCCACCTCCGCCTAGTCAATGCGAAGTGGATCGCTTGGTGGCGGTGGCGCGGCCCCTGCCCTTGCCAGCCGTCGGGGCGGCCGTCTCGGGGGCGCTGTCCTTGTTCAGGGCGGCGTGGGCAGCGAACTTGGCGGCGGACAGGCGAGCGGCCTCGGCAGCCAGCGCAGCCTCTTCCTCCTGCTGCTGCGCCTGGGCGGCTGCGGGTGGCGGCTCAGCACCAGCGTCAGCGGCCTCGCCCGAGCTGGGGGGCGGTCCTGCGCCAGGGTGGCCGCCGGCGGGCGGGGCTGCGGCAGACGTGGCGGTGCTAGTAGCCGCAGGGGCGCTGGCTTGGCCGTCATCGCCTTTGCGCTTCTTCTGGTAGCGCGCCTCGCGCGCCTGCCGAACGGCTGTGGCGCGGCTGATGAGCTCCTGCACCTGGGGGCCCTTGGTGGCGAACTGCAGCTTGAGCTCCTCAAGCCCCTTCTTGACGGCGTTGAGCTCCTGCTGTTCTGTATCGGTGAAATCAAGATCCTCGATCTGCTGGAAGAGCGTGGGGTCCCACGTGACTGTGAAGGGAGCCTCAGGTGGGTGGTCGGGCTTGCTGGCGGAGTCACTGGCGCCATCTGGGTGTCCGACTCCTTCAGCGCGCGCCAGAGCCTGGGCAGCCTTGCGTTTGGCGGCCTCCGTCTTGGCGACCTCGAGGGCGGCCTCGGCTTCCTTGGTCTCTGCCATGGACAGGGCCTTGCGGAGCCGCACGACGTTGGCCACGACCTGATTGTGGTGGTTGACTGCGCTGCGCCACGCACCATCTGCCTTCCGCATGGCCTCGACCTCGCTGACCTGGGGCTCGGCCTCCTGGGCGTCGAGGCGCTGCACCTGAGCAGCGAGGATGGCCTGCAAGGCGGGGTCGGTGGCAGCCGCGAGTGCCTGACGAAGGTGGTTGGCGAGGGTGCCGTTGTCAGCACGCGGCGTCGCCGTCTGGTCTCGGGGGGCGGCAGGCGGCGGCGCATCAGGGTCGATGATCTCCTCGGGCCCGAACCTCACCTGGCTTGGCGAACGGGAGCGGCCGCGATGCATGCGCATGGGCCGATTGCACCGCGGGCATGTGGGGGCCTGCGGGTCGAGGCGATCGTTGTACTCGCACGTGTTGCAGCCGCGGCAGCGCGTCCAGAGGCGCGGGGAAGGATGCCAGGCAGCAGCGCCGCGAGCAGCCTGGCTGGAGCCGCGCGGCGGCGCGCGGGTGCGAACCATGAGCCCCAGCTTTGGTCGACCGTAAAACCTGCAAGAGAGCGGGTGCACGGAAGTCCCTCAAGCACCTCGCGGAGGTACTGGGGCAGCCCTGAGAAAAGGGGGGCCAGGGCCGAAGTGGCTTGAGGGAGGATGAGCAGGAGGAGGAGGAGGAGGAGGAGGAGGAGGAGGAGGAGGAGGAGGAGGAGGAGGAGGGGGAGGAGGGGGAGGAGGAGGAGGAGGAGGAGGAGGAGGAGGAGGGAGGCGGAGGAGGTGGAGGAGGACACGGGCGACGAGGTCTGGCATTCCTGCCGCGGAGCCGTCCCCCGAGCCGCTCCCTCCCTCGGCCAGCTCATCGGCCCGCGCTCCCTCTCACGATGCTGCCGGCCCTCTGGGCTCGCTCCCCCGGCTCCAGCGCGCGGGCGCGCGGGGGCAGAGCCACCGCTCCCAGCTCACCAGGCAGGCTCGGCCCTCCTCCCTCCTCCTCCTCCTCCTCCTCCTCCTCCTCCTCCTCCTCCTCCTCCTCCTCCCTCTCCTCCTCCCCTCCCTCCTCCTCCTCCCCCCCCTCCTCCTCCTCCCCCTCCCTCCCTCCTCCTCCTCCTCCTCCTCCTCCTCCTCCTCCTCCTCCTCCTCCTCCTGCTCATCCTCCTCCTCCTGGCCTCGATCTCCTCAGGGGAATGCCTTTCGCGACACGGGCGACGAGGTCTGGCAACACGAAGCCAGGGCAGGGACGAAATCGAGCAGGAAGAAATCCTCCTCCTCCTCCTACTCCTCCTCCTCCTCGGCGCCCCCCCCCACCTCCCATCTTCCTCCCATGGGCGGTTTGCGCGGCCGCCGTTCGGTCGTTGTGCGGTCGTCCTTCATGCACTCGCTAGTTCGTATGTGCATTCGTTTGTTCGGTCGATCGGTCTGTCGGTCGATCGGTCTTCGTCGTCGTCCTTTTGGTCGTCCTCGTCCTCGCCGCAGTCGTGCTAGTCGTTGTCCTCTTCGTTTGTCGTCGTCGTCATCGTCGCCGTCGTCGTTGTTCTCCTCTTCGTCATCCTCGTCTTCGTCCTCGTCCTCGTCCTCGTCGTCGTCCTCGTCGTCTTCGTCATCGTCGTCGTGGTCGTCGTTGTCTCGTCATCCTCGCCCTCGCCGGTGTCGTGGCTCGTCCTTGTTCAGTGCCCCTCGTCGTCGCCGTCGTCCTCGTCGGCGACGTCGCCCTCGCCGTTCTCGCCCCCTCGCCGTCGACGCTGTCGCACTCGCCGTGCCCGTCGTCGTCGTTGCCCTCGTCGTAGTCGCCGCAGCAAGCGCCGCGCGCCAGCCACGCCGCCGCCGGCCACGGCGACGCTTCCGCGCCGGAGCCGGCCGAGTCGCCGGCCGCGGCGGCGCAGGCGCCGGCCGCGGCGGAGTCGCCGGTGTGGGGTTTCTGCCTACGCGCCTGGCTGCAGGCCGCTGCGCGGAGCCGTTCTCAACGTCGTCGTCGTCGTCGTCGTCGTCATCACCGTCGTCGTCGTCGTCGTCGTCGTCGTCGTCGTCGTCGTCGTCGTCGTCGTCGTCATCACCGTCGTCGTCGTCGTCGTCGTCGTCGTCATCGTCGTCGTCGTCGTCGTGATCGTTGTGGTCGTCGTCGTCGTCGTCGTGGTTCTCGTGGTCGTCGTCGTCTTCGCGGTCCTCGTGGTCGTGGTCGTCCTTGTCGCGGTCGTCGTTTCGTCGTGTTCGTCATCGTCGTCGTCGTCGTCGCCGTCGTTGTCATCGTCGTCGTCGTCATCGTCCGTAGCCATTTTGGCTCAAGATGGTTTGTTCCTCAGGGGAACACGTGGATACCGATAGTCCGCGGCCAGTGCAAGGGCGCTTCTGCCCGACAGTTTTGTTCCTGTCTCCGTGTGCCTCCTGCAGCCCGCAGGGGGGTGCCCGCTTCCTCGCGCACAGCCTCGTGTCATGGCGCCGCAGGTGGGCTTCTCCTTCAACTCGTGGGTGCGAGGCGATTCGACGCCACCGCCTGGAGGCTCGTGGACGCCCGTCCTCGGTCGGCGCCGCAAGAAGGAGCCCTACACGTTCTGCCAGTGCGGTCATTGGACTTACGATCGTCTTCTTCGTAAGCGTGGCCACTATGTTGGCTGCATGGCCGCGCTTGTGCCCGCCAGTGACACGGCAAAGGCTGGTGATGCTCTCGGTGCGTTGGGAGGAGGCGGCGTGTCCAGACCCTCGGGCTGGCTGCGTCCCATCTCGCCTTCATGCAGAAGTTTGCCTCTGACCTCCCGCCCGACAAGGCTCGCGCCCTCCTCGATGAGTTCGGCATCCAGAAGCCTGCGCCTCCCCCCCACAGGTGTGGCCATGGGAACGAAGTGCAGGCGGCGGAGAGAAGGCAGCGGGCGACCGCTAACAGGCTCCAGCAGGCATTGCAGAATCAAGTTCGTATCCAGAAGATGCTTGTGGAGGCAGAGCAGAAGGTTGATGACGCTATGCAGGAGGACCTCAAGGCAAAGAAGGAGGTCGAAGAAGCTGCGCGCCGCCTTGCGCAGCGGGTGCTCCCCCTTAAGGAGCCCTCGGCCAAAAAGTCGGTTGTCCACATCGAGTCTCTTCTGGCGAATCCATCGTCGCTGTCCCTGGACCTGGGAGAAGAGCTCGACCTGTCTGGTGATCTATACTCCGACGATGAGCGCAAGCAGCTGGAAGACTTCTCCAAGGAATGTGCTGAACGTGCCCGCGTCCTGCTCAGTACTGCTTTCTCCCAGGCTCGTGACGAGGCTCAGAAGATCAAGAAGGAGCGTTCTGAGAGGTTCGAGCAGCTCAAGAAGAAGAGGAAGGGTCCAGAGGGGCAGGCCGCCGCGGCGCCCCCAGCCCCTGGTGATGGCCGCCCGTCTGCTCCTGCGCCCGCCGCCGCCGCAGCGCCCAGGGGTGCAGCGGCCGCCGCGGAGCCGCCGCCCGCGCAGGGCGAGGACCCCTCCCTCAGAGCCGCCCGCGAGGCCGCCGAGGCGAGGGCTGCGCGGGCCGCCGCGCGGCAGGAGCTTGGCGAGGCCGCCAGGAAGGGTGCGGGGGGGGGGGGGGGGGGGGGGGGGGGGGGGGGGGCAAGGGCAACGGCGCGCAGGAGTCCTAGCAGAAAGGAGTCCCGCTCTTGCCCCAAGACCCTGAAGACCGCTTACGGCAATATCTCTCAGTGGGGCCCGCAAGCTGAACGTTGGCTCGCAGAGACCTCCGCGGACATCGTGTTTTTAGTCGAGACCCGCGCCTTCGGGCCTGCTTTGGCCAGGATGCAAAAGACTATGCACCGCCTGGGATGGAAGGCGGTGGTTGGTGCTGCTGATGGCGCGGACGCTGACTCGTCCTCGGCTGGTGTGGCAGTGTTGGCCCGCTCGCACCTGGGCCTCTCGAGCCTCTCACTTGAGGCTGATGGTGGCTGGGCTGCTAGTGCGTGCTCGCGCCGGTGTGTGGCGACCCTTCGCTTGAGGCATGTGATTGTCACCTTCGTTCCTGTCTACCTCGTATCGGGCGGTGGACTCAATGGGAAGAATATGCGCATTTTGTCCCAGCTCGGGGCTCGTATCAGCCAGGTTGCTGGACCTGTCGTGCTCATCGGTGATTGGCAGAATACGGTTGACGACGCCGCCCGTGTGAACTTCCTCAGCAGTCTGGGTTTGTGCGAGATCCCGTCGGGCCTGGTGTTTACTTGCGCTGGTGGCAGGGGCGCGGCCAGCAAGATCGATTTCGGGCTCGTGAGCGCCGATGTCTTGCCTGCCGTGAGGTTCATCGGCATCGACTCGACGGCCCCCTGGGGCACCCACCTGGCTCTGAAGTTCGAGCTGATGGCGGAGCCCAGGCTGATCGATGGGGTTTCGTGTGATGGAGCCCAGGGCGCTGGACGTCGCGACGGACCTCAGCAAGTCGTGGCTGCTCGACTGGGATTCGGCAGCGCAGCGGGCCAAAATTTTGATCGGATCCAGGCCGTCACGTTTCATTTCGAATCTGCCGATTGCGCAGGTGGTCAGCGAACAGCACGAGTCAATCCAGGCGGCCATGGGCCTGGGCCGCTCTCTCTCTGTCTGGGCGCGCGCCTTCGAGGTAGTCACTTGCGCTAGAAAAGGGATCCCCGAGAGTGAGAAGCCCCATTATGCAGGCAGGTGCCAGGCTCCTCGATCCAGGAAGGTCCCTCTGGCGCCCAAGGCCTCCGAGGGGCCGCCGCTCGCTGACAGGCATGCTCGTTTCTGGCAGTCTTTGGCTTCCCAGCTGGTTTTTCTGAGGCGTCTGGTCGACCCTGATGCGGACCCTGAGGGGCCCATCGTGCCCCTCTCCTCTGTCTCGGCCCAGTTTTGGAGCCAGGTCCGTGCTCTCGAGCCCCTCGTGCCGCCCGATGCCCTCGACCCCTCTGATGCCGTGGGGGCTGTTGTTCTCGAGGTGGATCGATCGGCTTCGGCGCCTCCGCGAGCTCACTGCTGAATCTTTAGAGCAGTGCTGCGAAGAGGCGGAGGCAAAGGGCAAGAGAGCAGCGGCTGTTGCTGCTAATGCGGCTCGCAGTCGTTGGAAGGTTTGGATAGGCCAATCTCTTCAGCGGTCTGCGGCCCCTGCCCGCAGGCTCCTCAAGGAACCGATGCGGCCCCGAGAGGAGCCAACATTTAGCAGCCATTCTGCAGTGTCACCTTCGGAGCTGTTGGAGGTGGAGGGTGAAGCCTGGCATCAGATCTGGAGCTCCCGCAGCCGCCCTGATGCCCTCTCCGCCCTTGCCTCGTGGCGGCGCGCAGCACTCCAGTCTGAGCCGATGGCCCCCATCTCTATTGACCAGGTGAGAGCGGCTCTGATGTCGGTGCCCGGCAGGCGCGGGCGCGGGTTGGACAGTTTGCCTCCTCGCCTGGTCATGGATGGGCCTTCAGAGAGTCTCGCAGCGCTTGCTGCAATTCTGACTGATATGGGGCACAGAGCAGCTGTGCCCTTTCAAGAGCTGTTCAACATGATCTGCCTCCTGGATAAGGAGGATGGAGGTTTGGGGCCCATCGCTCTCCTGAATTTCTGTTATGCCTTGCTGCGCCGAATTCGCAAGCCCTTGATCGGCGCGTGGGACAAGGGTTGCCACGGGCCGTGGGGCAAACCGGTCGGCGGCTCTGCTGAGCACGCGGGCTGGATTGATGTGCTGGAGGGGGAGCTGGCGGTGTTGGGCGGGTTCAGTGTGGCGGGAGGTCTGCTTGATATGAGAAATTGTTATGATCTCGTTTGCCTGCCCGACCTTGCTACCGCGGCCCGTGATTTGGGCTACCCTCTTCGCCTCCTCGTCCTTGCCCTCGACGTGTGCTTGGGGCCTCGCATCCGCGCTCTCCAGAAGCTGGCCCATCCTGGCTTGCTGCCTGGAGGAGGCATTCTTGCAGGGTGCGGCCAGGCAGTCTCCCTGGCCAGGGCTTTCCTGCACGAGCCTCTGGGGCGGGCCTCGTCTCAGGGCCATGGGTTGCATCTTCGCGAGTGGATTGATGCTTTAGCTTTCCGTATTGTGGGCGCTGAGCATTTCATTAGTATTGCCTTCCCTGTTGTCCTCCGCACGCTGCTTGAAGGCCTCAGGCGTAGGCGTTGCGTTCAATCTGTCAAGAAGTGTGCCCTCATGGCCTCCCCCGCTGCAGTGCGCTCAAGGTTAAATGCCTGGGCCCAGGAGGCGGGGGGTGAGGCGGCCAGTCTTTCATCGGTTGTTTCGTCCAGGGACCTGGGCCATGACGCGACCTTTGGTGCTGCCCGCTCTGTGAAGGTCCGCCGACGCCGCCTGGCAAAGGGCAGGCGTGCTGCTTTAAAAATCGCGGGCGTTGTCAAGACTCGGCCGAAGGCGACCGTGCTCTATTTTACTAACAGTTTGCCAAAGGCCGCTTGGGCTCCCGAGGTTCACTGTCTGGCCCCCTCCACCCTGAGGCAGCTCAGGGGTCAAGCTCGCCTGGACAGCAAGTGCCCTCAGCGAGGCTCTTGTGCGACCACTGCCATCAGGGTGTCCTTCGGGGCTGGGCGGGGCCCGTGGATCCAGGATAATCGCAAGCTGATCGGCTCCTGGTTTTCCCGTGTCTTCTCGAACCCCAGCCTCGCCAAGCGCATCCGGGGGCGCTGGAATGAGTCCCTTGCCCGCGCCAGCAAAGGCTGGACGTGGGTCCGAAGGGCCCCTGGGGGCTTGCCAGGCTACCCTGGCTTCCCCGGGGTGGGAATGCCCTACCCTCGATTCTCTAGTGGAGCCTGGAGGCCCAGAGCGTTTCAAGTGGGAGCTCATTGACCAAGGCGCGGCGCCTCCAACTAGGCTTTTGGACGCCCTAGAGTCAACCATAGAGGCGCGCGCCTGGGCCCAGGCCTCCAAGCATATGGACGGGGCGGGTGGGGAGGGCGGTGTTTGGTACCAGCGTGTGGCCTCTTTAGCTGAGAGGCTTGAAAAGCGTGACCAGCCAGCTCTTGCCAGTCTGGTCCGTCTCGTTGCTTGTGGGGGATTTTGGACAGAGTCCCGTCGTTTCGCCGCAGGATTTAGGGCTGGTGACCTGTGCCAGCGATGCAAGCGCTCCCCAGAAACCAGTGTGCACAGGCTTTGGGGATGGCCGTGCAACTTTTTCTCACAGGAGTGGGCCGTGAGTGTTGGAGTTGAGCCTGTGTCCAGCTTCGTGGTTGAGACAAATCATCTCTCTGGGCAGGCTCTGCAGGAGGTCGGACAGGCCCCAATTTATTGGATCAGGGGCCTGATTCCCCTGGCCTGGCTGGAGCTCCCTCCCCCTCCTGAGGGCCGCTGTCTTGAATGGATTCGAGTCCAGGCCTGGCCCCTCCCTGGTGGCACGTGCGCCGCGGACGGATCGGGAGGCCAGCGCGGGAAGCAACCTTTGCTTCGACGTGTGGTCTGGGGCTTTGCTCGCCTGGCCTCCCTGAGCCCCCTGTCTTGGGACTCGGGATGCACTGGCCTGGTTGACGGCCCGAAGCAGACGGTTCCTCGGGCCGAGCTTTTGGGTCTCATTGAAGTGCTTAGGGCGGTCCGCCAGGATCAGGAGCTTACTATTCTCTCGGATCACATAAATCATGTGAGAGCCTACGCCCGCGGTAGGCATCATTGTGTCAAGCTGGAGAATGCCGACCTCTGGTGTGAGTTCTGGAGGCTCGCTGACGCCAGATCCGCCCCGCTCACCCTTTCCCATGTTCCCTCCCACCTGGCCGAGGATGGGGGCAGGCTGGCGCGTCTCGGCGCCTCAGTCCAAGCGGGAGGTGTGCACCTGGACGCGGTGGCGGACGGACTCGCTGATGCTCGAGCCGCGCGCGCCCAGGTGCCCATTTGGGTCGCCGATCGTGCGTGCAGCTTCCTCAAGGAGGCTGAAACTATTTTGTGCCGCAGTGCCTCTCTTGCTATCGCTGCAGCTGCTGTGCCAAAGGATCCAGTGAGGCTGGTGCCCCCACCTCGCCTCTCTCGGGTTCAAAGGCGCGTGGCGGCAATTTGCAAGGCAAAGAGCAGCTCCAACCATGTCTGGCGTGAGTTTCCTCGGTGTTGGAGCTGCACTTTGTGTGGCAGGCTCGTGTTTCGGACGCAGAGTTGTGTCCTGTCCAGGCTTCGCACTGCATGCTTGGCCCGTTCCAGTTCCCTTGCATCTCTGCCTGTGTTGCCCCCCCGTGTGGCGGTTCGCCTTCCTCGAGGGTTTGAATCCTTGCCACCTTTTGATGAGCAGCTTTTCCGTTTTATGGGCTGGTCCGACCCCCCCGCTCGTTTTGAGGGGCAGGGCTGGAGAGGCCACCCCCTTCATGGCTCTCATTCTCTCTGGCAGAAGGGCGGTTTGTTTTCTGTGGAGTTTGTGGGAGGTACGCCGAGGGTACCCCCAAGATCCTGACTCTGGAGTGTGAGCGTGTTCGTTTTGGACGCTTCTCCCTCGCTGAGGCCCAGTACACTGCCATAGTGAAAGTTCGGAAGAGGCTGCCCCCCCGCAGGGGGGCTAAGGAGTGGGGCAGAAGGCCAGGGTTTCTCGACCTCTCTTGAGGTCGCCTGTTTCCCTGTCTGTTAGACCTTGTGCTCCGCCGCTGGAGTCTAGCAGGGCAGCTGCATCTAGCAAAAAAAAAGTCGTCGTCGTCATCTGTTTTGTTGTCGTTTGTGTCCTCTTCGTCGTCACCGTCCTGGCCGCCGACGTCCGTCGCAGTCGCCGTCACTTACGTCGTCGCTATCGACGTCGTCGTCACGTTGTCGTCAGAAGATGGGGGAGGAGGAGGAGAAGGAGCTCTACCTGGTTGTTAATGTGGGCGTCTGCCGCTGTCGCTGCCGTCAAGTATGTCGTCGGAGGAGTGGAGCATGATAAACAATGTGGAAGTGCAATTCAGGAGCTGACCCCCTGCCAAGGATACACTTGATATCGACCAGTCGTGCCTCTTCAGCCTTTACGCTCGCCCAGTAAGGGCGCGCCTCGCTGACAGGAAGTACCTCTCTGATGGTAGGTCGATCCAGTGTTTTGTAGGATGACGGATGAGGATGACGACGCCGACGCCGACACAGACGACGATGAATTACGACGAGTACGACGACAGTGAGGATGGTGACGATGATGTTTTGATGATGATGAGGATTTTGTTGATGATGATGAGAATAGCAATACTCACAAGGACAATGGCCATAATACTCATACGAATAATAATTCGATTCAGATTCAACATACTGTAATACGAATAGAAAAGATCACATTACAAACGTAGTAATGTTATTAATGGTGATGGTGCTGCTGACGGTGATGGTAGCTGATGAAAAAGAGGTGGAGAAGGATGATGATGGGGATGATGGTCATATCTCTTAGGCTCATGAGTCTGATGGTAGTGATGGTGAGAGGAGGAGCGAGGAGGCATAATGTGGGAGAAGGAGGCAGAGGAGGGAGGAACCCAGCAGCTGTCAAGTCAGTGCGGTACACAGCGAACTCAATTGATCAGCGCTAGTTGCTCTCGCTGGCATGGGAGCGCCGATCTGAACAGGAACAATTATCGTGTCGCCGCTCCTCCGTCATCCAGCAGTGTTGCAGTTCCCCTCTCTACACCTCTCTTCCCCCATTCGGTGTTTGTTTTACGTAGGAGTATGGGTTCCATCCTGCCTGTCTGGCGACGGCGGGGGAGGGATGGATCAGCGAATGTACCAGCCCCTTGTGAACAGACATGCCTGCAGCTCATCGCTCATAGGAGAGGCAGAATCAACAGCAGCAGGTGGGGTACGCGGAACAGGAGGAGCAGGAGAACAATGAGGGGGGGGACAGGGAGGAGCAACTGTTGGAAGACGTTCAGGAGGAGAAGGAGGAGGAGGAGGAGGAGGTGGAGGAGGAGGAGGAGGAGGAGGAGGAAGATAATCAAGGAGGAGGACGAGGAGGAGGAGGAGGAGGAAGATGAGAAGGCATGATCATGGGAATGTGAATGTGAAGAGGAGGAGGAATGGGAATGGGACAAGGAGGAGGTTGAGAAGGAGGAGGAGGAGGAGGAGGAGGAAGAGAACATGGAGGAGGAGAACATGGAGGAAGAGGAGGAAGAGGAGGAGAAGGAGGAGGAGGAGAACATGAACGAGGAGGAGGAGGAAGAGGAGGAGAACATGGAGGAGGAGGAGGAGGAGGAGGAGGAGGAGGAGGAGAACATGGAGAAGGAGGAGGAGGAGGAGGAGGAGGAGGAGGAGGAGAGCATGGAGACCAGGAGGGGGGAGGAGGTGGAGGAGGAGGAGGAGGAGGAGGCAGGGAGCAGGGGGAGGCGGGCACGAGGAGGGGCAGCGCGAGGAGGCAGCACGAGCAGCAGCGGCAGCGGGCGCCACGAGCGCCAGCCGCGGGCGCACCCGCGCGCCCTGCGCGAGGCTGGGGAGCTGCCCCCCAGCGCTCGCGGCGGCGCCGCGGCCGCGGCGCGGCCGGGCTTCACGAAGCTCCGGTGCGCGGCGGTCCTGCGGGGGCTGGCCCAACGGCCCAACGCGCCGGGGGCGCGGCTCGCGAGGACGAGGAGGACCAGGATCGACCAGACGTAAGAGTGACCTTTCGCCAGAGTGACCCTTGGTGCGGGCCCATGGGGCGCCCCCCCTCGCCGAACGCGATGCGGTAGCAGCGTCTGGCGCGCTTGTGTTTGGTCCCCCCGCGGCCCCCGTTTAGCCGCGCATCAAAGGTCACTCTTGCCCAGGGGCACTCTGACGTGTAGTCGATGGGAGGAGGAGGAGGAGGAGGAGGAGGAGGAGGAGGAGGAGGAGGAGGAGGAGAGGGGGCGGAGAGACAAGAGGAGGAGGGTAGGAGAGGATGAGGTGAGTGAGGAGGAGAGGAGGAGGCGGAGAGGGAGAGTCTGAGGTACGTAGGATGAGAGGCGAAAGAGCAGGAGTTGACGCATGAGGAGGAGGATGAGGAGAGGAGGAGGAGATGAGGAGGCGGAGGAGGAGGAGGAGGGAGAGTCGGAGGAAGGGAGAAGGAGGAGAGGAGAGGAGAAGGAGAGGAGGAGAGGAGGAGGAGGAAGGCTTCTTGCTGCTTCTAATGCTGCTCGTCGTCCTTCTCGTGCTCCTCCTCGTCCTACTCTCGACCCTCCTCCCCCCTCCCGCTCGCTCTCTCTTGTTCCTCTCCTCCTCTCTCCACCAGCTCCTCCTCGCCGAGCAGCGGATGGGGCCATGGGCCCCCCCTTGGGAAAACATTCCGTGATCGGGGGAATTGCAACTGGCTGGCTCAGCACCATGAGAGGTGGTCTCGCTTCAGGATAGCCGACAGCGCCAAGTACCCTGGGCATGATCGCCCCGCAGAGAACAGGCGCTGAGATTTTCTAACGCCATGGGGGGCCCGAAGCGTCGGTGGATGAACCTGCTGTGCGGTCGCTACCGCATCCACATCGATCAACGCGTACCGCGCACGCGCCGCCTCCATCCTCGGCTACGTCGCCCAGTTCCGAACGCCGTTCGCCAAAGTAATTCAAAGGCGTGGAGCATTGGGCCATCCACGAGACTCTGCACCTGCCTGCTGACTGCGGGTCCCGTCCCGTGTTCCTTGGGCTGGTGGACTGGCCACACCTGACCCACCCATCCTTGCCTTCCTCCGCGCGGCATGGCCTCTGGCACGGCACCTCACAGGTCCACGCGGCCCCACGCGCCAAGAGAGACGGCTCACGAGGAAGGACCACATGCCCGTCCCGCGTCGATGTAGCACGGCGCCCCTCCCTCCTGGAATGATGGGCCTTTTCCAGCACCGCCAACATAAGTTGGAGGGGGAGGGGGTCCTCCTCCTCCTCCTCCTCCTCCTGCTCCTCTGGAGGAGGAGGAGGACATGAAGGAGGAGGAGAACATGGAGGAGGAGAAGAGGAGGAGGAGGAGGAGAACATGGAGGAGAAGGAGGAGGAGGAGGAGGAGGAGGAGGAGGAGAACATGGAGGAGAACATGGAGGAGAACATGGAGGAGGAGGAGGAGGAGGAGGAGGAGGAGGAGGATGAGGGGGAGGAGGAGGAGGAGAATGCATGAATGAAAGACGACTCTGGGCCCGCATCTCTCCCTGTCCCTGCTGTGCCGAGGCGGACTGAACAGCGTGCGGCAAGCTCGTGTATGTAAAGCGTGTAAAACTCGTGGGTTTGCAAGTGAAACACAGTGGCGTGTAATATGTACGAGAGTGCACCCGTCGGACGACTAAAAAAGTCACGAAGTTCAGAAGGGGCCCAGCGGGCCCCGACGGGCCTGTAGGCTGGGCCCCAGGGTGACGCGCACCGACGCGTAAGGCACGAACAGACCCCAGGGAGCAAGGACAGCTAAGGCGTTAGCCATATTCGCAACGAGTATGGGCCAACAGGGGGGGGGCGGACCTCGCGGTAGCGTGAAACTGGTGAGAGGCGACTACGATCCGTCATCAGATGATCACTTCACGCGGTCACCGTCCGATACGTAGCGCAGCGCCTTGGGGAGGAGGCCGAAATTGAAGATGAGCCTGCCCCACGCTGCGGATATGAAAACGAATGCTCACAATGGCATTCTCACCTGCTATCTTTTGCGTCTACCGCGTTCTGTAGTATCTCCTCCATTGCGCCTGGTGGCGCCGCGCCCAGAGCCCTGCGCCCGCCGATGTCCTCTAGTGCCTTCTGCAGCAGGCCGCGGACTGTCAAGGGCGAAGGCAGCGGCTGCTCGTCTGATTCGGGCGGTACGCTCGGCTGCGCGACGTCCCTCATCATCAGGTGGAGCTTCCTCTTGTTCTGGTCGTAGCACTTCGTGACCCGAAACAGGCGTACCATGTCGTACAGGTCGTGAGGCTGCAGCTCGCACCA